TTGGAAGGGACCTTGAAGATCACCTCATTCCACCCACCCTGCCATGGGTAGGGACACCTTCCACTAGGTCAGCTCAGAGATTCATGCAACCTGGCCTTGAACACTTCCAGGGATGGGGCAGCCACAGCTTCTCTGAACAGCCTGTTCCAATGCCTCACCACACTCACAATAAAGACTTTTTCCTAATATCTGGTGTAAGCCTACTCTCTTTCAGTTTGAAGCTGTTCCCCCTTGTCCTGTCACTACATGCTCTTGTAAATAGATAAAAAATACATAAACATGTATGTGTGTGTTCATGAGTATATATATATATGTATAGTATGAGTGTATATATATATATATAGCAGTGGCCCAGACTACTCCCATGAGGGTCTGGGTCCCTCCATGACTGCTGTGTTGGCAGGTTGGGGAGCTGCAAGCCTTTTGTCACGGCTGGTATTGGGTGTCTTGGGAAAGGGGGCATGGCACACAGACAGCCCAGCAATCAAGCAGAACCCAAGGCTCAACCCCAGGCTCTCCCCGAAGAGAAAACATCCATCACCCCTTAACCCACCATGTTTGCCCAAGGAATTGGGTTTTTTGTCTATCTTGTATGTCTAAAGTGTCCCCGACTAAAAGCCTCATTGAAACTCATCCCTAGAAGTGTCTAGAAGCCAGCAGAGACTAAAAAACAGAGTCCAGTTTGTGACAGCCTGTTTGAAAACAAGACCGTTGTCCCTGAGCTACAGGGACTGGAAACTGGAGTGCACCCAGCTCCCACACACTGTCCTCCATACAACCCACAGCTCCCACCAGGCAGAGGCCAGCACAGCACAGCACTTGACTCTTGCCATGGCCTTCACCTCGGTGGAACACCTGCATTTGTATCTTTACCCTCGATTGTGTCTTTTTTGTTTTTTTCCTTCTAGACCCCTTTTCACTCTGGTAGTTGCCTCTGATTAATTGCCAGATCAATTAACGGATGTCTCTGATCGATCCTTGTTGGTCTCTGCAGGTGAGGCAGCAGCGGGCTGTCCCCCTTCTCCCCAGCAGCAACGCCTTCAGACCAGCTGTGTTTTCTTTTACTTTAAAACATTTTGCTACAAAGAAATTCCGTGAAAGGAATTTTTTTTCAAATCCCAATAAAGCCCACTAAAATCCAGGAGATGCCCTGAGGTGCTGCAGAACAATGTGATCGTGAGAAGGTCTCTCAGAACAGCATGTTCCCAGAGAATGTTTTTGGGCACACCATGGTTAGAACAAAAGACATCCTTAACGTTTATTAAGTACTTTGCTGTTCTCATCAAATTTAGCTGTTCTGTGGTTAATCCCACTCCAGATGTGCTCTCTGATCAGGGGTGCCGCCTCTGAAGCGTTGGCACTGCCACTGTGAACCTTGAAGTTCCTCAAACCAAGCAAAGCGACCTGCAGAGGTCACGGAATCATGGAATGTCCTGAGCTGGAAGGGACCCACAAGGATCATCGAGTCCAGCTCCTGGCCCTGCACAGGACAGTCCCAAAATCCCACCATGTGCCTGAGAGCATTGTCCAAACGTTTCTTAAACTGTGGCAGCGCTGGGGCCGTGACCACTGCCCTGGGGAGCCTGTTAAGTGCCCAACCACCCTCCAGGGGAAGAAACTTTCCCTAATATCCAACCTAACCGCCATGACACAGCTCCATGGCGTTCCCTTTGCGAGAGGCAGTGGCTGACTCAGCTCAGGAGAACACTGCATGGGTTTCCTCTCCAGGCTTCCTGTTCTGCCTGGCTGCAGCACACTCCAGGGTTGCTGTCAGGGGTTTGTACAGCATTGTCGTTTTTAAACATGGCATTGTAGAGTTTTTTTCACTGAGACTTTTAAAATAAAAGAGTTTCTTAAAACACATCTCTGCAGTCATTCATGTAGGCTTTTGATGTGTCCTCCTGCAGCTCCCCCCCCCAGCAGTCAGGCTGCCTTCAAATCAGAACCACTTGAAGTTATTTTCTCCAGCTTTTTTTTTTTTAATCACCAGACTCCCAAAGCTAATCTTACCAAGCATGTAGAGAAAGGCATTATGAAAACACACCAAGCTGCACTCCTTCCTTGTTCCATAAGAGCAGCTCCCTGCATTCCAGCAACACTCACCCTTTAGCTGACCAGACCTTGTGTTTAAGGAGTCAGAGCCCTGCTGAAGGGCTGCTCAGTTTGTAACTGCTGCGTGAATTTGGACGCCCCAAGAGGCCAGAAATCCCACAGGATGGCAAACTGGTGGTTGCAGTTGTTTGGCGATCAGTTACTGGAACCAGGACAGGCGTGGGCAGAGCCCAGTGCCACCCCTGCAGGAACACGACAGTAACTTAGCGATGGCACAGCACCAGCCCTCACCCACATGGGATTAGCTCAGCAGTGTTCAGACGCTTCCGCCAGATCAGCACAGATCTCTGCGATCCAAACTCGCTCCTTACAGGCCACACAGCCCTAAAAGCATCTTCCACTGCTTCTTAAAATAACACTTGGTGTTACTTGAGTTCAATCCCACTATCGGTGTTAAGATCCCTTTGGGTCCCCCTGAAGTCAGTGATCAGCTCAGGTCACTACTCAGCTCCCACCACCATCCCCTTCCAAAGGCAACCACTCTTTAAAAAGGGCACTTGTTTCCCTCAGCCTCTCCCCTTCCCACATCCCATGGCCAGCACAGCTGTGGTTAACAACTTGTCAGCTCCTAAATCCAACCCTCACCACCAACTCTTCAGTGGAAACTTCCCTTCAGCCAGGGCTTTACAGCACACAGGAACTGCTGTGGTATTTTAGCACAATATTTCCAGCTGGAACACAGCTGGAATGAAGTTCATTCCAGATTTCCACTGTCTGTGAAATTAGTTTAATTAGTTTACTTAATGTACTCAGGCTGCCACACCACTTCCCAAGCCCAAGGGCTGCAGGATCAGCAGTGACATCTCACTGTCCCACCCTGTGTTGGAGCTTCAGGATCACCCTTCTGCTTGCTCCACTAATCCCAAAACAAGGGCAGAACCTGGCAGTTGCTGGGAAACCGAGAGCTGGGTTTCAAATCCTCCCAGCTCAGCAACAACTGCAGTTTCCCATTACATGTCCACCCTTACACAACACCCACAGCTGCGCAACATCTGCAGGTGGGCACTGAGCTGCAGCTGGTAGGGAACACTTATACAACCCAGGAATACCATGGCTGAGGGATTAGCTACACTTGCCAGACAAGTGGGAGCCTTGCCTAAAGCAGTTTTACAGTTCCTTTGTCTGCAGAAACTACGTAATTATTGTTTATTAAAGAGCTGGAGTTGGGAAATGGCACAAACAGTTGTTCACGTAACCTGAGACACAAATTTTTGTGGATGCAACAGCTTTATTGGAATGAACAAGTGCAGAGAAACTTTTTATTTGGATGCAACAACCTGCTGGTTCAGTTACCACCCCTCAGGCGCAGGACAAGGTGCAGGGTGGACTCCTTTTGGATGTTGTAGTCAGACAGGGTACGACCATCTTCCAGCTGCTTCCCAGCAAAGATCAGCCTCTGCTGGTCAGGAGGAATGCCCTCCTTGTCCTGGATCTTGGCTTTGACATTCTCAATGGTGTCGCTGGGCTCGACCTCAAGGGTGATGGTCTTGCCAGTCAGGGTCTTCACAAAGATCTGCATCCCTCCCCTCAGGCGCAGGACAAGGTGCAGGGTGGACTCCTTTTGGATGTTGTAGTCGGACAACGTGCGACCATCTTCCAGCTGCTTCCCAGCGAAGATCAGCCTCTGCTGATCTGGGGGAATGCCCTCCTTGTCCTGGATCTTGGCTTTGACATTTTCAATGGTGTCGCTGGGCTCGACCTCAAGGGTGATGGTCTTGCCAGTCAGGGTCTTCACGAAGATCTGCATCCCACCTCTGAGGCGCAGGACAAGGTGCAGGGTGGACTCTTTCTGGATGTTGTAGTCGGACAAGGTACGACCATCTTCCAGCTGCTTCCCAGCAAAGATCAGCCTCTGCTGGTCGGGTGGAATGCCTTCCTTGTCTTGGATCTTGGCCTTGACATTTTCAATGGTGTCACTGGGCTCAACTTCCAGGGTGATGGTCTTGCCAGTCAGCGTCTTCACAAAGATCTGCATCCCACCTCTGAGGCGCAGCACTAAGTGCAGAGTGGACTCCTTCTGGATGTTGTAGTCGGACAGAGTGCGACCATCTTCCAGCTGCTTCCCAGCGAAGATCAGCCTCTGCTGATCTGGGGGAATGCCTTCCTTGTCCTGGATCTTTGCCTTGACATTCTCAATGGTGTCACTGGGCTCAACCTCAAGGGTGATGGTCTTTCCAGTCAGGGTCTTGACGAAGATCTGCATTTTTCCCTGCAAGAGGCAAACCCGCTCTGTTTTAGTAACGCTCTCGCTCCCCGGGGCCGCGCTCCCCGGCGGTGACGTCACAGCGACGGCCCCGCCCTTTCCGGGATGTGGGCCTGGTCCCCGCCCCTTCCCTTTCCCGCCCGCGGCGCGCGCCCGCCACCATCTTGAGGGGCGGCTGCGCCTGCGCCGCCGCCATTTCGCTGGTGCCCGCTCGCCCTCGCCCCTCCCGCCCTTCCCTTCTCCGCCCCCGGCTCGCGGTGCTGCCGTTAAGGGGAGGGCAACGCCCCGGCCCTCACAGCCCGCCACTGACCCCAGCCATCGCCCTTTCCTTCTCAGCGCGCACATACATTCTGTGTGTCCCGCCCGGACACCCAGCATGCATCTAAGCCCTGTTGCCGCCACGCCAAGCGGTTCCCCCCGCCGAGCACTCACCGCGGGGCTGGCAGGTCAAGCCGACAGAACAACCCCCTCACAGACACACCCGACTCCAACTGCGCCACACATCCCCCTCCCGCCCCTTATATGGTCTCGCGCGCCCCGCCCCCACGTCCGGATCACTCCGCCGCGCACTATTTTCTCGGCCCCGCGCGCCGCCGCTCTCCTGCGTGCGCTGGGGCGGGATAGGACAGCGCGCAGGGATCTGCGCCCCGCGCGTGGCTGTGCTGCGTCCAGCGCGCGCGGGGCAGCGGGCGGGGCGCGAGCAGTGCCGGGAAAACCCGGCGTGGAGCCGCCGCCGGAACGGGACTGCGGCCATGGCGCCTCAGCAAACCCACCTCGGAGACTTGCCCGTGTTTAAAGATTTATCTCAGAGCCTTACGTTTTATTCAGGGCTTTAGACATGAGGACACAACCCCGCTGGGACGGGCAGGTCGTGCCAGACCCTCAGTGCCACCATGGCCGTGGGAGAGGGGACAGGGAGGAGACGGTGCTGGGACATGCACTGAGGCTAGACCACCTCGGGAAAGGGGGGGCTACAGGAGGCTCCTGCCTGGGGTGGAGAGGTGACATGAGGGACAAAAAAGGCCCTGATGGATACAGAGTTCCAAGTCCTGCAGACGGTCTGCCTGAGATACAATGAGTGTTTATATACACACACATAAAGTAGACTGTGCATCTGAGCTATCGTGGAGTTCATAATTCAGGACTAAGGCCTTGCCACCAGGGTAAAATCAATAATAAACAAATCAGAATAATGCCTATTTCTTATTCTGTTCTTGCAGAGCACATTCTGGCAGATCTCTGCTGCGCTCAGTTGGCTCCTGTGCCATCCCAGTCAAACTGCACAGCAATTCCAGGCCATGGCTGAGAACAAAACGGGGCTTTGTCTGCAAGACTCAGGAGACGCCATTCAGTCCAATCCGCCTACAAAATCCTTCATTTGCCAGCACCCAAAGAAAATGGAAGGGACACAGATAACACCCAGGACTGCTCACCAGCAGGAACAGAGCAGAGGCCCAGCAACAGCTTTGTGATTAGTTTGAGGGAAACCGCCTGTGTCTGGCTGACACATGGAGCTGTTACAGGAGGGGAACGCTCTGGGGAGCTCCTTGGCCTCTGCTGCCTCGTGTTTGTACCAACACTCATCACAGCAGCAGTGATAATAATCTCAAACACTTGGGTCGTTTAGACGGGGAAAAAAAAAATCCACAGAAGTCTTTTGGTTTCTTCTCAGTGCTCAGTGGCTGACACTGTGTGCACTGGGAGTTGAATAAACATCAAAGATTGGAAAAGCCTTCCAGGTTTAGGTCTTTCCTCAGCTGAATATTAATGTTAAGCTTGTTCTTTTAGTTACAGAGGGAGCACTCAGAACTGGTCTGAAAATAGTAAAAAATGCACATGGAAAGGTATTTCCTGACAAGATGGAGTTTTGTAACAGGAAGAAATAAAATGACACAGTGCTGTTCTTCATCTAATTAGGGTAATCAGCCAAGCACTGAGCATCCTGAATGAGTTTATACCTGATGTCTGAATCAAACACAGGAGGAGCACACACTTAAAGGTTGAGATTGGCAAAGCAGATGTTTGGCCCTCATCCAATAGTCCTTAAACACATCTGTATGGTTTGCAGGAGGACAGTGTTTCCTGAGCTGGGAGAGGATTTCTGTGAAAAAAGCCCTCCCGTGTTTATCCTAGTGTTTATCCTACCCTGCCTCTCTGAGTACTCATCGTTAGGATTTCAGTGCAGGGTTGATGAATAGTGGGATGTTGATCTTAACAGAGCATGACCTGCTTTACTGACAAATACCAACTTCCTGTGCCAAAAAGTTACTTTGTGCCTGTTAGAACAAACTATTTCTTATATTTACATGCAGGGCATATTCCAGAAGTACAGCTGCCCAGGGAGATCCAGGGAGTGATTTACAACAGGGATATTCACACTTAGCAGTGCTGTAGCCAAATACTAGCTCAAAATAACAACTGGAAGTAAGATGAGTAAATAAATAGCACAAGGAGCTTTTCAGCCACTGTGGCAGGAAATGTCACTTTGCATTTGTCACCGATCATCTCCCACTGCTGTTGGATTCACCGTTGGTAACTGAAAAGTGAGATGAAACAGCTGCCACTGAACTGTGTAGATAAAAGCTGTTTCAGGCTCTATGTGGGCTTTGGTCTCTCTGGGCCAAAACTCTCAGCTGTGCCATAACTCAGCCCTCCTGGCTCCAAAGGGTTTCCTGATGAGCCCAGCCAGCCTGAGATCAAAGCAGGGAGGTTGTTTCCCCAAGAGCTCTTTCCAAGCTGCTCTGGGTGAAGCTGCCCACGCTGCCGAGGGGCTGAGCAGGACAGTGGAGGGGAGTGGGCACCGCAGAGCCAGCTCGGAGAAGGGGAGAAGCTCCTGCATTGTCGCAGCCAGTGACTGCGGTCACCTGTGGTGTCCTGGTGTTTCTCCCTCCCCTTTAGCTCTGGGAATGTGAAGCAGAGACCGTGAGCTCTGTGTTGCTGCAGGTCTGCACGTCCCCAGCTCTGCCAGGCTGTGGGATGAGGAGGTGTCAGGTGGGGCTGGCCAGCGTCTCCTGCGTTTTGGAGTTTGGAGCTTTGTCCCTCCTTTTGGGCTGCTGTAGGGCCTTGGCAAGGCGACGGAACTCCAGCAGAACACAAGACCCGTGTGTGTTTGCACAGGCCTGAAGAGAAACAAGTAACAAAAAAAAAAGCTTTCTTATGCCACCGGGGACCCGTTTGAGGAGCAGGGTCATGGCGCGGTTTGCTGCTGGCTTAACGAGAAATGGCGACTTTAACTGGATAAAAGACATCACGGGGGGAGGAAGGGGGAAAAAGCCAAAACCAAAAGAGCAGTAACCCCATGGAGATGCCGGGGATTGAACCCGGGACCTCATACATGCAAAGCATGCGCTCTACCGCTGAGCTACATCCCCCTGCCCGCGGGGCCGCTCCTGCCCGCCGCCCAATTCCGTCCTGTCCGCGCTCCCTTGTCCCCGGTGCGGGGAAAAGCGGACAGAGCGATGCGGGCACCGGGTCCCCGCCGGGCCTGGGGAGGGCTGTGGGCGCTGCAGTGTACGGACTCCTCTGTGGTCTTCACGCAACCCTTGGAAACATGGGAACGCGCTGGTTCGCACACACAAATCTGATTTTTTTTTTTTTTCCCGTCCTTCGGAAATTGGAAAAATTCGTGCGGGACGAAGAAAAATGAATTTTAAAGAAAAAAGTGCTCACAACCTCCCCGTCGGGGAATCGAACCCCGGTCTCCCGCGTGACAGGCGGGGATACTCACCACTATACTAACGAGGACGGTTTATCATTGCCTTCCTGCGCGCCTGGTCATGCCCGAGGTGACGACCCGGGACCTGCTACACTGCTGCCGTCCTCCGGGAAGTGGTTCCCACCACAAAATCTTCACCCACCTGAGCGCCTGCGGTGACACCGGGAGAGCCGCCCCTCGCAGGGACCGCAGCCCCGGCCCCGCTCCGCCCGGCGGCAAAAGCACGGGCCGCTACCCGCGCGGGGAACGAAAAAGCTTCTGCCGAAACCCGGGATCGAACCAGGGACCTTTAGATCTTCAGTCTAACGCTCTCCCAACTGAGCTATTTCGGCGGGCGACAGCGCCCTCGCTGGCCGCGGATACGACCCCGCCCATTCCCCCCCAGTGGCGCTGCCCGACCTCCCGTGTGGGTCCCACCCCCGCGGCACCAGCGCCCCGTTCCTGGCGTGTCCGGGGGTCGCACACCCCCCGGTACTGATGTCCACTCCACGGTCCTCAGGCACCACTCCTGGCACGCCCTGCCCTGCCAAAAACGCAGCAGTCCCGGTTCTACCCCGCCCCTCTCGCGGGGGGTGACGGGGCCCGGGGTTCCGCGCCACGTCAGAATCCTGCGCGGGGTCGCCCGCAAAAAACGGCGTCCGGGGGCAAAATATAAATCGGCCTCCCCGTCGGGGAATCGAACCCCGGTCTCCCGCGTGACAGGCGGGGATACTCACCACTATACTAACGAGGACGGGCGCGCAGCGTATTGTTTTCGCCTTGCAGTATAACAGTGCAGTCCCGCCCCGGGCGAAGCCGCCGCTCCTCCCGCGGGTGCTGCGGGTCCCGGGGTCCCGTACGGGCTGTGCGGGGCGAGGGGGGCGGGACGAACGCGGGAGGAGCGCGGGGCGGGCGCGGTGTGGCCGCCGGGCCCGGCGTGCGAGTGGCAGTGTGTGTTTATGGGCTGTACAGAACACCGTGTCAGTCAGGGGATGTAGCTCAGTGGTAGAGCGCATGCTTTGCATGTATGAGGCCCCGGGTTCAATCCCCGGCATCTCCACTTTTTGCCCCCGCCTTCTGAAGCCGGTGGGTTTTTTGCTTTCTCTTGCCCCGTTTTCTAAATTTGGAGCCACAATTTCCAAATAAGCTCCATAATGGCTGAGTTTTTGTTCCCTTTCACTCCCACAAGGAGTTTGCAGACTTCTGCTGCAGTTCTTGTTAGAGAAAGGCAAGACACCCCCAGCACCCTCCTGCCTGGGGTTATCACAAAACACTGCAGAGCTGCACCGTTTCACTTACAAACACAGTGTAAGAGGCTGGATTCCTTCTTGCTCGAGAACAAAAGTTGCTGTTTCATCAGCTTTAGATATTTTTAATGCTTACTTGTGTCCTGGCCTCACCTCTGATGTGCGTGGGAGCAGTGGGTGAGTGGGAGCAGTGGGAACAATGGACATGCATCCAACCTCTTCTCCAGTTGGCCAGCACCAGTTTTGGCAGGATGTGGGCAACAGAAGGGTCCTTGCCCACACCTTCTACCACAGTGTCATAAGCAATCAGTTGAAAGGGAAGATAACTCTACATTTTCCTTTGGCACCTCTACCAAAATTTCTTGTTGTGAAATGAGCAAGTGGTTGAAGTCTGCCCTGCTTCCCAAAACTGGCTGCATTCCCCAAAGTGCTCCAGCCTGTGAAAAGCAGGTGGCTCTCCAGCACCAGGATAAAACAGCCCTGGCCAACCATGTGGCAAAGGCCCCAGGAGATCTGAGTGCCTGCAGCACTATGCCAGGAATGAGGAGAGATTTGAACAAAAATTTTTGGAAGCAAGATTAGTGGATATCCTGGAGAAATGGCAAACTCCTCAAGATGCAGGAAAAGAACAATTAGGACTGCACTGGTTTGGCTGGGCTGAAGTGGATTTCTCCATAGCAGCCCCCTTGCTGCAGTTCTGGATGGGTGACTGACAGTGCTGACACACCAGTGTTTGTGTCTGGGTCAGGGTCAACCCACCACCAGGCCCAAGGGTTCTGTCTGTGTTTGGATCTGCTAACACATGTGAGGAAATGACTACACAGCTCCCAAATTCTGCTCTCTGCAGCATCCCACAAAGAGATCATTTCTCCCATTCAAACCAAGAACTTTACATATTTATTATAGTTCGTACGACTAATATAGTCCAAAAAGAAACTTCTGATTAAAAAAAAAAAAAATCCATAAAATACAATGGATAAAATTATCCAAACATTAATATTACAAAGTACCAGCCAAAGAGCTGGTAGGACTTCTGGGAACATGGAGGACTTCCCAGAAAAAGAGAATAACACCTGGCTCTCTTACAAAAAGGTATCGCTACAGTTGGTGAGTCCATCTGTGTCAGATTTCCAGGGAAACTCCTGGAAGCTCTCGAAACACCTTGGAGACAAGAAGTCCATCAAGAACAGTCATACTGGTGGCCAGTTCTGGGCGAGGTCATCGTGCATGGCTTCAGGGATCCACTGACGGTAGGCTGAGAGCAAATCTGGAATGGAAGCAGAGTGGTCAGATGGCTCTGGGAGTCAGGGACTGGGGTGGTTTGGCTGGAAAAACAAGGTCCTGTGGGATCACCCACTGGGAGCAAGAACCAGCCTTTCACCACTGGGATGGTGCTGGAGCTTGGACTCTTGCATGCAGATGTAACAGCATCCAGTGGGAGAGAATGACTGTGAAAGTCATCACCGCATCACTTTGCTGCTGTTTCTATAAAGACCTCTTATAATCTGGTAAAAATACTGAATAAAAGCCATTTTACCTGGAAAAAAAATTTCTTTGCAAGAACCAAACACAGGGCATTACTGTTTCTCATAAGAAAATAGGAAATATCTGGAGCTTATCAAGTGACATTGTCCACTTTTTAAATTATAATTCAACAGTGGCTCGAGGTACTCCACTGATATGACTGATAATTA